CTTCAGATTTTCATATTTCTGGAAATAGAGATTTTTATAGTAACCATTGAGGTTTTTTGAATTTCTGAAGTGTCTGTTGTAATTTCTCCTTTTTCATTTCTGATAGATGATATTAGAGATTATACTTTTCTATTTTGGTTAGGTTGGCCAAAGGTTTATCAATTTTGTTCATCTTTTCAAAAAACCAACTTTTTGTTTCATTGATCTTCTGAATGATTCTTTTGTTTCAATTCAATTTCATTTAATTCTGCCCTAATTTTGGTTATTTCTTTTCTTCTGCTGGGTTTGGGGTTGCACTGTTCTTCCTTTTCCAGTTGCTTGAAATGATCCATTAAGTTGTTGGCTTCCTCTCTTTCTGTTTTCCTGATGAAGGCTTCCAATGCTATAGATTTCCCTCTTAGGATTGCCTTTGCAATATCCCAGGTTTTGATAATTTGTGTCTTCGTTATGATTTAGTTCCAAAAATGTGGTGATTTCCTTTTTAATCTCGTCTTTGACCCAGCTATTATTCAGCCTAAGATTATTTAGCTTCCATAACTTTGTTTCAATATGAAGATTCCCATTGCTGTTGAGTTCAACTTTTATTCCATGGTGGTCTAAGAAGATACAAGGAATAAATTCTACACTTTTAAATTTGCTGAGGTTAGACTTGTGTCCCAGGAGATGATCTATTTTGGAGGATGACTGACTCGTGGGCTGATGAGAAGAATGTATATTCAGTTTTATTAGGGTGAAATGTTCTGTAGAGGTCTGTAAAGTCCATTTGTTCTAGGGTCAGGTTTAAGTCTAATATTTCTTTGTTTAGTTTCTTCTTAGAGGATCTATCGAAAATTGTCAAAGGGGTGTTAAAATCTCACTATTATAGTGCAGAATGGTATCAAGTTGTTGATGTCCATTAGTGTCTGCTTTATGAACTGAGGAGCATTCTGGCAGGGGGCATAAATGTTAATTATCGAAATCTCTTAAGGTTGGGTGTTTCCCTTGACGAATATGTAATGACCTTCTTTATCTTTCTTTATCTTTGTTGGTTTAAAGCCAATTATATCTGCTACTAAAATTGCAACCCTGCTTTTTTCTGGTTTCCATTTGCCTATATTATACAAGTCCATTCCTAAACCCTGAGTCTATTTTTAATAAGGTAAGGCGATATTCTTGTATTCAGCAGATATCCTGAGTTTATGTATCCAGTCAGCTAGCCTGTGCCTCTTTAGAGGACAATTTTAACCATTCACATTCATTGAAAGAATTGATAAGCCTGGTTGTATTTTGGTATCATGATTTTCGGATGTCTAGTGGACATTTTTAGTCCTTTCACCACTGTGGAAGTGGGTTTTGTTCAAAAATTTCTGGGTGAGTTTACTTTGGAGGTAGAGCATTGTGCTGGTCATTGTGGAGGATGGGTCTGAAAATATCCTGAAGAGCTGAAATTTGCCTAGTTATGGCAAATTTCTTCAACATGTCTATGTCATTAAAGTATTTGATTTCTCCATCACAAATGAAACTCACTTTAGCTGGATAGAGGATCCTGGGCTGGAAGTTGTTTTGTTTTTAGGAGACTGAAGGTCAATGACCATCTTCTGGCATTCTGATATTTCTCCCTTTGTAGATGCTGCTTTTCTTACGTCTGGTTGCTTACAGAATTTTCTCCTTCGTCTTAACTTTGGCAATGTTAATCACAATGTGTCTAGGAGATGCTTTATTTGGATTGAGTCTTGGCTGGGGTTCTGAAACTGTGTGCTATCTGAACTTCTGTATCTCTTGCAATGCTTGGGAAATTCTCCAAAATCTCTTGGAGTAGAGCATCTGTATGTACCTTTAGGACCGTCCTCTTCTCCTTCGGGAATTCCTAATGTTTGATCTTTTGGAGTGATCCCACACCTCTCCCAGGGAATAATCAGTTTTGCTCTCCATTTGTCTGCCTCTTTGAGTGTTTGGGAAAGTTCAAATGCTTTGTCTTCAGTTTCAGAGACCCTTTCTTCTGCCCGGTCAACTCTTACTGAGGGATTCTATTGTATTTTGGAGCTCCTCAACTAACTTTTTCATTTCCTTGAGCTCTGCTATCTCTTTTCTCATTGTGTTCATATCTTTGTTGACTTGGGCTTTGAATTCATTAATTTCTTGAGACAACTTTAGAACCACTCTTTGGAATTCAATTTCTATCTTTTCTTTCATTCTATTTATCTTATTTGCAATCCATATTCTCAATTCAATTTCTGGCATTGCTGCCATTTGTCTATGCATGCATGCATCTTCAATTGTATCTCCTTTGTCATTTCTTGGGGAAGGGGGTGATCTACTCTGGTTATTCATGTCGCCAGAGTTCTTCTGTTGGGTCTGCACCATGTTTGTTCTCCACTGTTTGGGTATTAGAACTGGTAGGATGAGATTGAATTGGGGTTCCCAGGTAGTAGAGATAGCCCCTTACCAAAGTGCTAGGCTTTGTAATTGTGGCTTATCTCCTACAACCTTACAAAGGCCCCTTTCAGAGTTTCAGCTAGAGACTCTGAGGGCCTACTTGGTGAGATAGCACACGCTAGCTCTGTTTTGATATCAGCCAACCTCTACCCTCTCCTAAGAAACCACAGTATTAGGTTTAAATCTCAACTGTGAAGAGATACAAACAACTGTAGCGCCCAGCCTCCACCCTTCAGTTCTTTTCCACTACAGAACTTCAAAGGCCTTTTTCATTTTCTACATTTCTTAAAATTTACACTTAAATTCATACATAGAGAATTACTTTGCTGCATATACATATCATTGCACCTTTTTTTTTGGTTTGCATACATTTGTATGTCTGTCTTTTTTTCTCCCTGTTAGCTTATATAATCTTTTCACATTTCATAGCTTTGAGTGTGATGTCTGCATTTTTTTAATAGGGTAAATTTTAAAAATACCAACTTGATAATTTCAATAAATACAACTAAATTTTTTATAAACATAAAAACCAATGCCATGTACCCCTTCTAATAAAAAGAAAATTGCAATTAGAATGATATTCAGAGGATGAAATTTCTTGCCTATCCAGAAAAGATGCTAAGTAGTTTTAACATTGTCGGTTTCCCCTTATAACTTTAAAATGTTAAAAAATTTAAACACTAATGTCTAGATCAGTACTGTCTGATAGAAATTTCTACCATGATGCAAATGTTCTGTGTCTGCACTATCAAACATGGTAGCCAATAGCTGCATGTGACAATTGACCACTTGAAATGTGGCTTTTTGACAGAGGAACTAAATTAATTGCTTTTAATTTTAACAACATAAACCTATTTTTAAATAAAGTCCATATGACATAAACCCTTCACAGCACTAACACAGAAAACAGATAGAAAGCATATGTAGTATGCCATTGGCTTTTGTACATAGGAAGGCTTTGTAGTCTGATTTGATGAGAGACCAAAAGGAATAGGAAATCTTTTTGTAATGCAACCCTGTTCTAACATGTATTGTTTAGTGGGTGTAGCTTGAACATACACCCTTGAAATACAACTGCGGGTGATAAAAATCAGTTGTCTTATTTAAAATTGGCATATACACAAGTTACTTTTAATCTCTTTCTTTTATTCTTTTTTAAATTAAACATTAGAGCCTAAGAAAATAGTAATGTACAATGTAATGAAAGTTCTTTTACTGTTCCTTTCACATACCTATTTAAGTCTGTTTCTTGCATGTTGAATCTTTGCCATTTGTTTTCATCACCATCTCTAATTTGTTTGCTTTCTTTATATCCCAAGTCACGTGTTTCTTATTTAGGCCTATGAATATCTGTTTTTCAGATTGTAAAACTAGCTATTTATGGCATGTTGCCAAAAAACCTTCACAGAAGAACAATGATGCAAAGGTTGCATCTTTTTCCAGATGAGGTAAGTTTCCAGATGAGGTATGATTACCAGTGAGCATCATTGGTAATGATGCTTTTCTGAAATTTTCAATTAAATGTTGTCTCTCCTTTTTAAAATGCTATAGACTTATTTTGAATAATTTTTGGTCAACTTCTGAAATATTTTTGTATTTTTTAAATGAATATACATAATGAATTGAATGAATTATGTATATAAATGAATTATAAGTAATATAATTATTTATATTATAAAATGAGCCATCATAAGACTAAAATCAAATGTCTACAAGTTCTATTTTTTCATTTTAATAACTACTTTTTTTAATGAGGACTATGAGTAGGCCCACTGTTAAGTTGAAGCATTCATTCATAATTTAACCAACTATGTAAAAAAATTTAGTTCACGTTTTATGTGAACTAAAATTAGGAAATTATATTGTGACTCTTAAGACATTGATTGGCCAAAACTGTGTCTTATGTGATGCCATGTTGTTGGTCAGATATTTGCTTTCTACTTGTAATATTATACTCTGCAGAGAACTATAATTCACTGTGTGATGATCCTCTTTTTTTTTGAAAACTCATGTTTACACACTGATGAAAAGAGCTAATTGTGTCCACTTTCCCTGTGAAAGGGTACTTCCATATTGATAACTTACCATTATTTTAATAGAGTCCCACAGATTGATTTATCATCCAGTCTCATAGACCACTTCTATTTTCTAGCTGCCTTGTTTCTTTGACAATCTCAATGTTAATTTTTTTGATAACCTACACTATTTATTTTGTCCTTCTCTTTATTTGATCTGTCCATTTCCAATTCTTGCTTTTTCTAAAATGTCTCAGATTTAGTTTGCTTTTCATTACCCATATTTAGACTTTTTAAAATCTTACTTTGATTACAGAAATGGCCACCTAACTATTCTTCCTATCTCTAGTGTTTCCCCACTAAAGTTCAGTTTGCCTTTTATTATCAGGCTATTCCAACACTTCATTTTTCATCAGATTTGGATATACAATAGGGGGAAAGTAGTTCTGACCAGAAGATACCATTAATAAAGGCACCAGGATTTGAGCCAAGACTAACACTTGAAAGGTGGGGAGGTTGATAAGTCAGAACCCATGGGGGATGTGTAGAGAAGGGAAGTGAGAGAGGCAGACCAGGGGTGAGGACACTGTCCAGCTAAGGAGCTTTAATGAAGGAGTTAAAACTTCATCTGGAAAGATTTTAAGCTAAGAAATGACTTGTAAAACTTAGAAGCCCATGATCTTTTTATCTTCCTTTATGCTCAGCACCTAGCACAATTTATGGTTCTCAGGAGGTCAATAAGTGATTCCTAGATAAATAAATAACTCAATGATCTAGCAAGTTTTCATTTAAAAATATTTTCTGGCCATAATATAGAGCTCAGATTGAAAGGTAGTGGTAGACACTGTAGAATGATTCGTGCACACATCTTATGAAAAAGCATGAGAATTAGCAGAAGTAGTGCCTTCTTACAGTTGAAAAGAGGGAGATGAACAGTGTATTTAAATAAGTAATATATATCATTAGAATAGGATCACTTATATCATTAATGTACTTTCCAGGAATTTTCACAAGTTTTTTAATTTTAGGGATTATATTTTTTTTGATAAGCATTCTTTCAATTGTTAATTTTTAATATTAAGTATTTCTAGGACGATGCCTGTGGCACAGTGAGTAGGGCGCCAGCCCCATATACTGAGGGTGGCAGATTCAAACCTGGCCCTGGCAACAAAAAAATAGCCAGGCTTTTTGGCAGGCACCTATAGTCCCAGCTACTTGGGAGGCTGAGGCAAGAGAATCACCTAAGCCCACAAGCTGGAGGTTGCTGTGAGCTGTGACACCGCAGCACTTTACTGAGGGCAACAAAATGAAATTCTGTCTCTTAAAAAAAAAAAACAACTAAGTATTTCTAATGTAATGCTAAGAAAAATATTTTAAGAAAACTAAGCTTATGAATTTTTTTAATGTAGAATATTCCAGAAGATATTCTTAAGAACTTAGTAGAAGAGCTTCCTCAACCACGAAAAATACCTAAACGTCTAGATGAATATACACAAGAAGAAATAGACGCTTTTCCAAGAGTGTGGTCCCCGTAAGTGTTCCCCTTCTTCTTCATGTCTTTCTTTTTTTTTCGGTCTTTTAAAGTTCAATTTGGTATCCTTTATTTCCTCAGCTGAATGATAAAATACTCGAGGGTGGGAAGAGTGAACTCATTCTTTTTATTTCCCTAGAGACTCTAAGGAGCTACCTCCTACAAATAAACTGTAGCTGTAGATATTAGAACCAAAACTTAAGTATTAAGACTTATCTAGGTAAGTGCAAGGATGTTTATAGGTGCCTATCATTGTCAGATATTTTGTTTGGGACGATCTTTCCTCAGATTGGTTGTAGTCTTTTGGAAAGATAAATGGATCAAAGGACTACTAAAACACAGTGATTCTCAGTTTTCCAGATTATTTCATAAGGTAAGAATATCATCTAGTGAAAAGTCATTAATTCTGGACATTCATAGATAGTCTTGATGCAAACAAAAATAAAATCAATTTCTTTTTGCTCTCACCCATATAGTTTCCTCTACCTAAGGTCCATAAAGCTGCCAAGATTTAACCCTCTGTCTTCTAATTGTTTTCAGGCTTCTTTTCCTGGTGTGTACAGATGATGAAGCATTTAAATGTAACTTCCTCAGGCAATCCTTTCTGTAACCCTTGACTGGGTTAGGCCCTCCATTATAGGTTCTCCTTGTATACTTTCCTTTTCATTTACTATGTTCATGCTAATGTAACTGAATACTTATGTGATCATCTATTTAATATCTATTTTCCTTGCTAGATTTCACAAGGAAATTACGTTGCCTTGTTTAGCACTGAACGTGATGCCTGCACAAGAAGTAGGCACTCATCAAGTATTTATTGAATGAATTAATAAAAACATAGAATATCTTTTTATTAGCTTTTATAATTAAAGTTAGGAAAGAATTTCTAGAAGATACCAAACAAATGCTACTTTTCATTTTTTTCAGAGCATTTATCACTGTCCAGAATAATCTTATTTACAACATGTTTATTATGTCTCCCAACATTAATAGCAATAATAAATCTATGGCCATGCTACCCTGAAAAAAAAAATTACAGTAATAAAAAATAGCAAGCTAATAAAGCATTTACTATTTGCTTTCCTTGGGTTACCCTATATAATCCTCAGAGCAACCTAATGAGTTAGTACAATTTTCATCCCCACTTTCTGTAAATGAGAAAATGTAGGAATGGAGACATAAAATAACTTGCTTAAGATCATAAACCTGTTTAAGTGATGGATTAGGGATTCAAGCCCTGGGTCATGCTCCTAGCCACTTCGCTGGAATGTCCCCTGTTGCATTGGAATGTCAGCTTTTAGGGGGGCAGGGACATGTCTTATTCAGCACTTATATCCCCACAGTTAGAAATAGAACTTAGCACGTAATAGATAGTAAGTATTTGGAAAGAAGGATGAGATGAGCTCTTTCCTCTAAAAATTAATTTCAAAGTTGTTATGAATAGCTTAATAAAGTTTTAGAAAATTCAAACTTAGATACAAATCTTGCCTCCAGACTACCTATGTGTGTAACTGTAAGTTAGTTATTTATCATAGGAGGCAATGCATACTTCCAAGCATTGCTAGAAGGAGTAAGTGAGCTAATGTGGAAAGTACTTAGCACACTGAAGTAGTCACCAAGTTTTTAATAGAATTTTTTTGCTATTACAAATTCTAAATCATTTTTACTTGCTTGCTTGTGTAGTATTTTATGTAAATGTAGTGAAGTCTGTAGTTTTCATATACTTAGCTCAATAAGTTATATACTAAAAAATTATTTTAAATAGTCCTTTAAGTTTTGTCAGGTTCTATTTATTTAATATGATCTATAAATGAAAGTGTGTCATATCTGATTTTCTTATGGACATCACAGATGAATTTATATTCCTGATCAAGAGGGGTGTGGTATTTTTTTTTTAACTAGAAATACCAAAAGGTATTTTAACTCATATATCTAAGTATATTAGAAGAAGATCTATTTTATGAATGTTCTAAAATGTATCCCAGATCAGCTAAACCAAGCATTATAGTAATGTAATACATGTAACCATTGACAACAAGAGGTATTTAGTGTCATTATAGTCAGAAAAGTGATCAAAAATGCTCATTCTGCTAAGTGATTCCTGTTTCATTTTGAAGCAAATTTAAAAAGTGCCTAAGCGCTGTTGTTATATTAATGGAATCAGAAAGAGCTTTTCTATGTTTATTTTTAAGGAGACTTTTAGAGAAACTTACAGCTGTGTGGTGCATTTTTGAGTTACTACTCTGGGAATGGGTTTTCCTGCCCTCTCTTTTCATTCCAATTTTCCCTGTGGCAGGAATATGCATTAAGCACCAAGATCCCCTTTGTGCTTTATTAAGTTGTGATATTTTCTCATATGTAGTCACACAACATATTAATTACATCTCAGTATAATAAAGTGGCTACATACTTACTGAACTTGAAGATATACAGCTATAGGCAATAGGTACACTAGTCATTTAACATAAATCATTTAACATTTCCTTTTCTGTACACATTAGAGCTGGCATCAAGCCTGATTCATCTGTACTACATGAAAAGCCCATAACTAAGAAAAAATAATCATTTTAGGATTGAAGAGAAAGTTGTCTAAGAAATAGATGATCATTTTAGTCCAGGGCTATTCTGTAGAACGTTCTGCAGTGATAAACAGCTATCTGAGCTTCAGTGCAGTAGCTCCTGGCCACATGTGGCTCTGGAGCATTTGCCCTATGGCAAGAGTGACTAAGGTAGAATTTTTAGGTTAATGAATTTTAATATTAATAGCCTCCTGAGGCTAATGACTACTTTATTGAACTATGACATTTTAGTTCTTTGCAATTTCACAAAGTTCTAGTATTAAAAACAATATACTTTAGAATTGGAATGAAAATATTTGGTATACTCTGCAATTTAATACCTTAAACATGGGATTTCTATTAGAAGAATTGTCTTTATAAGAAAAACATTTTTTTTTTCCTTTTGAAGGAGGAACCTGCTTAAAATTTGCTTTTTTCCACTCAAAATAGCTAAGCCAAGAATGTAATCTTTTAGAATGTAGTAACTGGAATTTACCCAAGGTGGATCTGATGGTGAATCTATAGAGACGTTACTGAAACAGATGTCCCTGGATTGCACCACGGTAGTCACAGAAATATTATAACTCATCTTGGTGTTTGTTCCCCTAATAAAACTCAATGTTTGTAATGGTAAAATGTACATCTTACATTTGGAACTGTTATTTACTATCTTTTGGTTAAATGTAAGTTTACTGGATCAATGTTGGGATTTTATTTAAATTACTTTAAATCTCTTACACAAGTTATGTTCTTTCAGATCTAATTTCAGCAAATATTAGGGTTTTTTCTTTTGCTAGTTCAGTTGTTAGTTGTTTAGTCAGTTTTAAAACAACAGTAGGAGATAAGGAATAAAATTGGTATTTATGGCAAATACTTTTTTAAAAAATGAAAGCCGTTTATATGTGCTATGGGTAGTATTGCCTGTGCATCTCATTTCTCTTAAATTAGTGGGTCTACTCTTAAATTGGTTATGTATTAGTATTTTTTACATCTCATGGATACATAAATTTAGTAAGAATATGCTATGAAGTTATTATATTTTATGTTTCTTGATGATACAAAATGGATGTTTGTTTGCCGTGTGCAACTGTGACTGTAGGGTTTACCCTGAGAAGTCGTCTCTTTTTTCTTTAAAGAAAAAAGAATCACTATCCTTTCTTCACAATTCCACTTACCTGAGATGGTAGGTTTCAAATGGTCAGCTTACGTTAGTTCTATAAATAATTACTTCCATAATTATTGAAGTTTTCCCATCATATTACAGAATCTAAAAATCATGGATATTATAATGCTCAGTGTAATGGAAATTTTTCTGGATGTAGGCTAAAAATAAAACTTGAAACATTCTAAACTTTATTTTCAAGTTTTATAAAATTCTGTAGGCAAGCTTTTCTTAGGAAAAAAACAGGTATATGGAAAATTTCAACTTAAATTGCTTGACATTATTATTTCTGACATGTTAACTCAGTAATATTTTAAGCAAAATCTTCACCTTCTTAGGGAAATTGTATATGGAAAGTTTTAGGATCAGTAAATGCTTGAAAACAGGTGTTTATAATGCAGACCTGTGTTCTGGTGTTTAACCAGACTGAGTGTGCTATTAGAAATGTGCCTGCAACACAGAGATGAATGTTGAGGATGAAAGCGTGAAGGTATGAAAGCAACCATTATTGGCTCTGAAGTCGCCTGCCTTAAAGTAGAGTGAGGCTTAGGGAGTTTCATAGGTAATCCATCCAGCTCTGTGAAAGAAAAGTAGGGCTCCAGATGTTGGGAACATTAGTACTGGAACAGGGCCTTGGTGAGCTTGTTCAGTCTGTAGCTAGAGGCAAGCTAGGTCTTAAGCTTAGTGCCTGTATTCTGATATGAGAGCTATTAATCCTAAAACTACATGTTTTCAGATATATTCAAATTAATATTTAGAAAAAAATATTTTACCTATGCCTTTACAAAACATGCTTCAGATCAGAGAGTTCACTAAAGACAGTCAAGAAGGATTTGACTTTGTCTAATCCCATAAGGAGCTGGGATCTGGACAGCTTTCAGATTTTCCATAATTTTGTGCTAGTCTAGTCATATGGCATTTTCCCCACACAGTTTAACTTAATTTTGCTGCTCTTCACAGTCAGAAGTTATTAACTGGACTTGGGGGCCAAGGTTACTTTCCAACACCCATTTCAACCAGGCTCAGCGTTGGCTTAAACCATCAACCTCAGTATTTCCAGTGCTGAGTTTTACTTAAATTAGGCATTCTAAACTCTACTGTTCTTATGGACATGATAAAACCAGGAGTGGTTATTAAAAAAGAAATCAATCTCTATTTAAACAACAAAACCAGGTCATTTACAGGCCCCCGCTAATAGAGATTTTGACTAAAAAAGTGTAATTGACTATAATAGGCGTGCCTGTTCATTTTAACTGAAAAAAATATTTGATTTTTTTTAA